TCATTTTGTGACGGGGCTTTGTCCCGTTCACATCCGGTTCTCGCTCTTGAGTATTTGCCTGTAAATCAGCCGAGATATGTCTTATTTTATTTTATAACACCTGGATATAAGAGAAACCCGGATATAAGAGACTTCTCCGGTCCCGACAACTCTCTTATATCCAGGTTACACTGTACTTAGTGTAGATATATTAATCAAAATAACAAAAATAATAGATTTCTCACAGCTACTTTCTCACGTATGCACTAATGTATCATACTTTATATACTGTACACCTGTCTTTGTTTACAATTGAAAGGGCCACCACTGCCGCCAAGCAGTCACTTTGATAACTAATACAATTCATTCCACTAAGCTCACAAATTTTGAAATACATAGCTGACAATTTGGAAGTTTTTTTCTTGCAGATTTTTTTTATTTTGCCTACAGATTTTGTCCATTGCATCTGAAGTCTGTTTTTTTTTGGGGGGGGGGAGTCTGTAGATGAGAAGTTTGTCTGTATTTCGAGAACAACCAATTTTCTAAACAACATTGTATGGTTTACTTTACTTCCCCTTACCTAATCAGTATTCACCCTGCTTGGCCTGTCATAATGGCCATTGAGTGATATGACAGTTTTTACAGAGGAGAGGTTTGAGGTATATGCTGTAAAGAATGGATGCTTCTCTGTCATATGGGAAAAGCATAGCCTTTTACAAAGTAACACACTGGAATTTTAAGTAAAGACAGAATTTTATAATGCATGGTGTGGTGGAAATACTTCCCACATATACCTCCCACATAATATTAAGACATCAGTGACAATTGAGTCTTCATCTAGCTAATATCTTACCATTATGTGAGAGGCATGTCAACTACACCCTGAATATGCTAGTCTTGCTTTTTCAAGCACTGAGAGAAGGCATATGACATATTTCTAAAATTTGTTAGTATGTTTTCTTTGGATAAAATAAAAAACTTTTGTTTACATTCTTCTCTCTTTTCCCTAACCATTCTTTAGTTTTGTTTTGACTCTTTGGGTAAATATAGCTGTACCAATGGCAGGTGCTGTTGAAGCAGCCCATATATATTTTGTACCACCCAACAATGTGAAAAAAGATTGATTGATTCATTTTCTATGGCTTATTAACCACTTGAATGTTATTTAAAGCCAGAAAATATTTTTAGATTGTCAGAATTTTTTTTCAGAAGATAATAATGATTTAGTTTTGGTATATTTCTGTAATAAAATATTTCTGACTTGATTGCTGTTTATCAGTCACATGGTCCTGGAGGAAGATAACAAATGAAATTTTCTTCCTTTCTGGAAGGTTATTTTATTCAATATCTGTCTATATTTCTGAGATGAGGTATTATGTACACTATTTACATTGAACTATTGTCCTCATCTTTGTTGCCAAATTCATCACAATGTTTCAGCCTTTGTACCCTTTGGCCTTCTTCAGGTGGTTGGAATGTTGAACTGAACCCTTTATTTTGCTTGCTGGGGTAGACTGTTCTAGTTCCACATGCCATGTCTAATGAATTAGTCATATGTTTCTATTAAAAAAGGCAACATAAAATTCAGTAAGCATCTCAGACATGAGTCAGATATGCCTGCAGAAAACAACATTTAAGAACTTATTACTTAATAATGAGGAGAATTTTTTTTTAAAAATAAGTTGAAAGCATCTTACACTATTTACATTATTCGAACTATTTTCCTCATCTTTGTCGTCATATTTATTACAATGTTTCGGCCGTTGTACGCTCCGGCCTTCTTCCTTGAGCACACTTGCACAATGGCTAAAGGCGTTGATTAGATCCAGTGACAGGACCCAAAGAGTGTGAGTTCAATACCCGGTTAAGGCAGTGGAGAACTTGGAGAGGGGAATTAAAAGGAGATAACCGATAACTGACATCCATTAAACATGGCATGTGAAACTAGAACAGTCTACCCCAGTGAGTGAAATAAAGAGTTCAGTTCGACATTCCAACTACCTGAAGAAGGCTGGGACGTACAATGGCCGAAACGTTGTGATAAATATGGCAACAAAGATGAGGACAATAGTCCGAATAATGTAGTGTATTTTATTCAAATTATTAGTTATTATTTTTAGGTTTTCTTTGAATTTATTTCTTGCCGACATAATTATCAGCATTGTGCATGTGTGTGTGTATATCAATTTCATTTAGTCAAATGTTTTATTCAAGTTGTTATCTCTTAGAGAGAAAAGGTCTGGGAGGAAGTAAAAGGAGAAAATATTTTGAAAATATATTTATAGCATTACTATGTAATATAGATCATTCCATCACATTCTTATCTTTCTACCAATCCATTATTCATGAATTTAACTTATATCTATCTATTACATAAAATAATGAAAATTTACAAATCCTTTTAAAAAGTACGCATAAGAAATTCTTTAATGCTAAATCCAGCCAAAACAAGATTATTACAATATCTTGTTGTGTTTCACCTACCTACACAAGGTTGATGTCCACTAGATATTCCCCCCCCACATACAAATACAAAATTATTGCAGCATTTTATTATATTTCACCAATATATATGAGAGTGACATCTATAGACATTCCTCATACACAGACTTATACCCTTACATGAATTAACATTACTGTCCAACACCTAGACAAACAAGTGTTTCTTTACATACACACTCTTACACTCTTTAACGTCCAAAATGTTTCTCACACATATTTATATATTACCTATTGCTTTATACACGTGATGCATGTCTGACCATTGAAAACTACCAAAAATCATAACATACCAGTACTCTGTGTCTTTGCTTTTTTTTCATTTCTATCTTGATCTCTGATGAAGACTTAATAAAAGTGAAACATGTTAGATTGAGATACGTTTCCTACTTGTTCTTTATTTTATTTTATCTTGTTGGATTCCTATCCATATCTGATCTACATTTGATCTTCAGCTTATATATGTGTGTGTATTATTGTATGTATCCAAATGGAGAAGGTGCTTGCTTGCAACATGGAAGGAAGGTAGGTTTGTTTTCACTGGTAACAACAAGCTGCTTAAAAAGGTGGAGAAAAGGTATATGCTCTTGGACAAAAAATTTATTTGTCGATTTCAGTTTTGGTTGATTTTTCATCTGGTTCTATGCATATCTATAGATCCACTTCGAAAAGGGTGCTCTACTTCTCATTGGCATGCAGCCTTACATCCTGTAATAAATGGGACTAAGTGTCCCTGATGTTGGATTTGTTTGTGGCTGCTGCCATTTTTTATTTCTATGACAGTGCACATGTGGATGCTACTTTGAATGATCAATGGTCACTTTTTACCTGGTGATTAAGATGTGAGGATGCAGTGGATTTTAGAAGAAGTGTTGAGACAGTGATTCTTTGGAGGAATCAATTACTACAATCTATTTCGGTACTTATGGATTGCCATTTTGACATAAAATTAATTCCTGAGTTCAACAGGTCCAGCTCTGTTGTAGAATAGATGGAAAAGGCCCAGATGGTGTACAATATGTGCGGAATGAAGTTGAATGGATTCTCCCTCTTCAACGTACTGGTGATAACTGTCATTATTTGACCATAACAAATTGTGGTTTGATTAGTTTCACCATATGACAGCCATTGGCTTGACAAGATTCATTTGGCATCAATTACCAGTTAGAGTCCATTTTTTATGAAAGGGGGCCCCCTAGTGAAATACTTACAGATAATACCACCACATTCCATAGTAAGGACTTTTGTGCTTTCATGGGGTCCTGGGAGGCACGCCTAACATAGATGTGCTCATGTCCTGGAAGTTAACAGAATAGCAGAGCAGTGTCATAGAAGTCTGAAGAGAATTGTGGTCAGAAAGAGTTGTTGCATTGCAGAAGTCATGTATTGGTATAACGTCACCCCTAAAAACAACATGTCACCACTCACTGCACCTACCAATGGAATTTATACATACAAAGTTCACCTCAAAGGGATAAATGTGTTGCCTCTAGTGCCCAAGAAAGGTCACATAAAGTACAAAGTGGGAGATCATATGTACATGAAACCCCTGTAGAGGAGATGCACAACAACTTTTGGTAGAGGACGTGTCACTGGAATCATTAGTCCACAGTCTGTTCTGGTTGACAACATCCGACATCATGTTAAGGAACTCCATAGAGAATCAGGGTAGAGAAATAATATTTGTTGTACAAAATGGAGATTCTGCCTCTAACAAGGAGGAGGAAGGAGTCCTCAAACAGCTAGACAAACACAATGCTCCTCCCTTGAGACTAGCTGAAAATGAAATGGAGAGTGCACTGATGATTTACTCCTTCCACAGACACCCAGTCTCAGCTAAACTGCCATCTTGTCAAAGGAAACTACAACAACAACAAAGAGGAGATCGCTCCAAACAGACTTCCTTTTATCTATAGACAAGAGGAGACAACTCAACAGTCTTAACTCAGATTAACATGCACCACCCCAACTTCAGAGAAGTACACAAATAAGGAGACCTGCTGCCACATGTGGGATTTAGATATCAGAGAGGAGTGTCATAAATGGGACTAAGCCTCCCTGATGTTGGATTTGTTTGTGATAGCCGCCATTTTTGATTTCCATGACAGTGCACGCATCAGCACTACTTTGAATGATCAAGGATCACTTTTTACCTGGTGATTGAGACGTGAGGAGGCAGTGAATTTTAGAAGAAGTGTCGAGACGGTGATTCTTTGGGGGAATCATTTACTACACATCCTGGTTGCAAAAAATTTGTTTTGTTGTTTGAACAGTCTATTTTTAAAGATGGTGAAATTTTAGTCTCCTTGTTATTATTTATTTATTTCTTATATCCTGGTTGTGAAAGCTTTCTGATTGGTTGGTTGAATTATGACTTTGTTTGTCTGATGATTCTGATTACCCATCTATTTTTAGAGACGGTGAAACTTTTGTCTTCTTGTTATTTATTTATATTTATTTATTTATTTTTTTATTGCCGCAGCAGAAATGATTAATTATCATATACTTGCTATTTTTTACAGGAATGTATCCAAGCGAGAATAAAGAGGTTGCTGTGAATAAAACTGTTAATATTTCCTGCTTTATCTCTCCCACTCAAAATCTTTCCTTATTCCAAAATGATACTTTAGTGAAAAGTGAAAATGCTTCTGTCATCGAATACAAATTTACAAGTGACAAACCAAATGTCTACCTCTTCAAATGCAGGTCTAAAACAGAATACTTTGTGAAAATTACTTTCAGATGTAAGTATTTTTCTTTTCAACTTTTAAGGTAAATCATTATCATTTTAAGAGGTGTTGAAAATTATTAGTTTTGTTACTTCTGCTATTACCATAACTTTTTCTTTTGATCCATTCTACAGTCTTCTTCAGGTGTAGAATCTCTATGGTAAAAAAATTCTATGATAAAAAGTTATTTTGTTTTTTATTTCTCAACATATTTAACAAGAAAATCTTTAGCAGTAAGAAGTGTGCACTCTAATGAGAGGCTGCTCTTGAGTGATGAATAAAAGAGATTTTTGGGATAAAACAAAGAGGTTGGGATTTTTTTAACACATGAAGAGTAGGTAGGGTTAGTGTACAATTTAGTTTATTTAATTTTTTCTTATTCTCGATAGTATCCTGCTTAGCACTGGATCATGTCTCGTTTCCGCAGCCATTCTGTCTAAAGACAAAATATCAGTCTCTATCAAGTGTAGGAACGAATCTTCAAATTCTTCCTCCGTTTTGTCTTTTGCCTCCTTGTTAGCACTAGTCAGCTGCTAAGCTTGTACTTGCTAGTGGTTATTCTCAGTAACCACTTATATTGAATGTTCAGTTCTGCTTATGCAAATTATGCATACTAATTTGCTAGTATCACTACATATTCACTTTTGCATTTCTACACAACAGCTGCAAAAACTTTTTTTCTTCACTAGAATATTTCTTCAAAGAGCCAAATCTAGATTTTCTTTTCTTAGCTTTGTGGTAATGGCAACCATAGTTGTCTACCCCTTAAAATATTTGAGTATAAAAGAAATGGTTGAACCACACATATGTGCAGTGTTGTTTTTTTTTCTCAGTAGTGAAAACTAGAAAATCTTTATCAGTAAGCAGGATGCACTATAGCAATAGAGAAGCTTCTTGTGGGTGTTGAGTAAAAGGGGTATTTGGAATAAAACGGGAAGGTTGGGATTTTATTAAAAAAAGAAAAAAATTAAAGCAATTTTCTTCTATTATCAAATTATTTACCCCAAATAAATATAAACCTGATAAAGCCTTTTTTTCTAATGTAACTCATCTGTTAGTCTTTTCTTTATGGATCATTGTTCAATATAAAGAATAAGTCTTGTTCCATTATGTCTAGGGATATCTCAGCTTGTTTTTATAATGTTGTTAGACATGGACAGTTGAACAAGAACAATCTCTACTCATAGATTAAATAAAGGGTTCAGTTCAAAGTTCTCTGAAGGTTACTCAGATGGAAAGATACCTGATGAATGCCGGAAGACACAATGGCCGAAGCAGTGTGATAATAACACCAAAAGATACAGACATTAGTCTGACTGTAAATAGTATTGTCTTTAGTCTTTTCATGATTTCTTTTCTTCTTTTTTTGCTTTTTCCCAAATCTTAAGAATGATATTATTATTCATTCTCTACTTTAGAAAATAATAAATATATATCCTTCATGATATTTTTGATGAGATGATCTATAAATTTTGTCCATCAAACAACCCTCTCTCACCCAAAACCTCATAATAAAACCATTTTCTGAAAGCTTTCTTCTCAGAAGAATACCATCCTGGGTAAGACAATAAACTACATCTGACAATAAGACCTTTGATCAGGAGGTTTTGAGAAGTGTGGAACCACTTCTTAATTGCTGGTGTTCCTAGTTACACCCTGACTAGGGGTGGTATTACCTGTTAGGGTCCCAGCTATGGGAAAATATTTAATCCCCAAACTGGGGTCAAAATGTGTAAAAATAGGTTTTATTACCAGCAATAAATTTTTGAAGAAAAAATTATTACCAGCAATACTTTTTTGGAAAAATTATTACCAGCAATACTTTTTGAAAAAAATATTACCAGCAATAAGAATCTTGTCGGCATTAAATAACCTATTAAGGTTGATATACTATAAAACAAATTAAACCAAACCAAATCAGAAGAATAAAGGAAAAAAAAACAAACAAATAAAGCAATAAAAAGAGTCCAAAATATCTGAAAATACAAATTTCAATTGACAGAAAACTGTTTTTATCATGTATAAGTGAGGGGTTTATTAATACTGGCAATATCTCAGCTTTGGTCGAACAAGTAAAACAAAATGAGTGAACAGAGAGCCTCAGTCCCACCCCCAACAAAATGAAATGTTGTAATGCCAACAAAGATGAGGACAATAGTCCGAATGTAAATAGTGTAAATAATGAAGGAAATTTGTATCAGATCAGTTCCATAATGTAGTGTGAAATTCACAACAGATGATGCCAGAGTGGACTTTGAACTCACTGTCCTTCAAGGTGCATTGATGGCTTTTGGCCTGACAGATGATCTCTTAACTACCAAATGCTGATCTGCACCTAACAGAATGTCAATGGTTCATCCTGACAAATGGACACATTATCCACACAGCTGTACCTGAGAAAGTACGTCATGACAGATATATAAACATCCATGTTAGAATGGACACTGTCTTAGATTGAAACGAGAATGCAGAGTCCACATTTGGGGTTAAAGAGATTTTTTTCTATTATCAAAATGTTTGCTATAGTGCCTAGACTCTTTGAATTTAAGCATGTTACTAGACTGGCAACAAAATCTCACCAATTTACTGTTGAGTTGGCTGAAATGTAATTGTAAATTCCATACTAACAGTTTCTTTTCTTCCACTACTCACTTGTGGAACTTCCTTCCAGTACCATAGTTTCCAGGAAACTTTAATTTGCAAACATTAAATGCAATGTCAATCACTATCTGCTGTCCTGATTACTCTTCCTCTGTTTACACTACTTGGTAATGTTCCTGTTTCTAACTCTTTCACACCCAGTAACCCCTTGTGCCTCTGTGGCTTTACTGCCTTGCTTGGGGTGAACTTGATTAAAAAAAATATAAACCTTACAAAACTTTTGTTTCTAATGTTCTCATTTGCTCTTTTCATCACTAATTGTTGTGTATTGTTGTATACAGCCAGACAACTGATTGTAAAAAGACATATTAAAGTTTCACACTTGTCAAACACTTGAAATGTACATTTTTATTTTTTATTTTTTAAATCAGCATCCCCTATCCACATTGGATTTAATATTATCAGAGAAGTAAAGTTAATTGGGCAAGAGCTACAATTAAGAGTTTGGAGTTGGTGGGGTCTTCTTCTCTATCGAGTACCTGTGTTAGGTGAGATTACTTCAGGAAGTGACAGTATGGCATCAACTATTAAATTTTAATTTAGTATAAGTTGAAATATCTCCTGGGGAGTGGGAATTAAAAATACATGAACCAACACTTTATTCCACTAAGCTATTGTTTTAAGAGAAAGATTTTATAAACTAGATTTTTTTTTGCAACACACTGACTCATGTTGAATTCCTCACAGTATTTAGTATTGTTGAAGTTATCACTAACATTTTTTTGTCGAGATTTACAAACTCTGTTTTATTCAATTTCACAAACCTTAACTAGTGATCAATGAAATTTGAATAAGCTGATTTGTTTGGAAAAATACTTTGACAAAAACTCTACTTTGCAGCTTTTATGCCCCCTAGTAAAACCAATTTTGTACCCACTTACCCATTTACACTTTACCTCCAAATTTGGTTTCAATTGGTCAATGTATGGCTATTTTAGATGATGTGATGGACTAACGGAAGTCACAAAATCTTGTATATCGATTTCAACCAAAATCAATACTGGTTGCTAAGTCAATGAATGCTAAATGTTTCCTTAGAAGGAAACTGGGAATATTACATTAACATTCTCCCTTAGAAATAGTGGAAACCAGATGTGCAATAACTAAGCAGTAATAAAAATAAGAACTAGACAATATCTCTAGATATGGGCAGTGGATCAAGAACAGTCTACCTCCATAGATTAAATAAAGGGTTAAGTTCAGAATTCCCTTTAGGTTATCCAGATCAATATAGACCTGATGAAGTTTGGAGGACACAATGGCTGAAACATGATAACAGCAACAAATGAAGACAATAGTCCAAATGTAAATAGTGTGATAAGAATAACTCCTGATCCCCAAAATTCAAACAGGGACACTTTGAAATGAATATATCTAAACTATGTATTTGTATATAAACTAAACAACCTTGAACGTTCAATTGAATTTACTTATGAAACCGAAACAAACAAAGCATTGCCTTTCTTTGAAATCATGTTAAACTGTATTGATAATAATGTAAAACGAACCAAAAATCTACAAACAAATCTCATAAGTTTTTTTTCAAATCGAAACAACAAACTAAAATAATGGAATAATTATTGTTTTTTTTTAAGAAAATTTGTCACCTCTCAATATTTACCTGAAGAAGAAAAATACTTTTAAACTCCACTAATGCTCTAATTATTTTATATATAATGCAAAAAGAAAAGCTTACAAAGTTCACAAAAACAAAACAAAGAGAATATCATAAATAACTTTGATAAAACGGTAAATATTGGTTTTGTTACCTGTGTAAATCATCATAATTCCGTGCTAATGTACATGCTGAACTCAAATTAACAATTAAATTATAAAGAAATCTTACCATTTTGGAGTTATCAACAAGAAAAAATCAAACTTCTTGTTGGTCATTCGTCCCCCATTACTGTAATCTCAATTCAATGCGGGATACCTATGTCGCCGTAATAAGAAAATTTGGCCTATTTACTTCTTTTACAGACTTTCCTTGCAGAAAATCACTACGCACGGGTAACAAAACCAATATTTACCGATAAAACTAAGAACATAATACTATCTATTAATTCAATAATGATTACAATTGAAAAGAATTTATCTAAAAATATGAATATATTTTTTAATTGTTAAAGTTTTTATTGTAAATCTGTAACATTGGGGTGATAATGGTATGAAATTTATAAGTGAATAAAGTATTTGATAGGGATGCCATAAATCAAATAATGTTGTATGTTGTGTAATTTGTTCAGTGAAGATGATAAAATAGTTGATGAGAAAAACAAACACTTTCCTTCTCTATTTACATTGTTTGAACTGTTGTGCTTATCTTTACTGCTATATTCATGATGTTTCGGCTG